ATAGCTGACCCTCTGGTGGGTTTTCAGAGGCAGGTAATCGCCTGGGAGGAGACTGTCCATCCTTCTCCATGGAGCTGCTCTGCCAATGGATACCTTTGAGGTGTCAGCACAACTTCTTACACTAGGACACCAGAGCTTCCTAACATGTCATAACTCCATAGTTATATTTTCAGCCCAACTTAGGTGTATCAACATACCAGGCTAAAAGCACTTAGGCTAAGTGACTTTTGGAACCTTCTAAAAGCCATCATTACCCAATTCGAAGGATGATGGGAATGAATCAATCACATGGTTTCAAAAGCACGCGCTATTGTTTTTCTTGTTGCCAGGGTTTGAATAGTTGTTGATTCTGTCAATCTCTTGCTAATTCTAGCTACATTAATGAGGTAATTGGCACCAGTAACTTGAGAATGGAGTAGAATTAAAGGAAAAGAAGAATGCTATTTTAAAGAGGCTTCGACTCAATTACTAAAAATGTTGTAACTAATAATGGTGTCATTTTTTAAGGAAGACTTTAAAGAGTATTTTTTTAAGTATTCATATAACCTAAAAACTATTACATTGTGTCATTTGTTTTAGGAAGACTTTACTATTTTTTTTTTTTTAGTATTCATGTAACCTAAAAAATATTACATTGAAGTCATATACAACTATGTTTACCACCTATCATTCTATGATTAGTTACTGTGTATTGTCAAGCCAAACTCATAAAACTGACCCTTCAGCAGGTTTTCAGGGGTTGTCAATCACAGAAAATGGCCCATTTTTCTCCCGCAGAGCAGCCGGTGGATTCGAAGCGCGTGTCTTTGAGTTGACAGCGCAACTCCTCACCACTAAGCCACCAGAGCTCCTCTCCTATGATAAGACATGACAGCAAGTGAAAAGGATTTTGTCTGGTTTGATATGGGAGGCCGTCCAAGTGACCACACTGGCTGACACACCAAACCAGACAAAATGCAGGAGGAGCCAGATTCCCCTTCTACTAGATCCAGGCGTTTGGAAGGGTCGCGCCGTGG